TTTAATTGGCCAACTATAATATATATATATAAAAATTAGCCAGGCATGGTGGCACATGCCTGTAGTCCCAGCTACTCGGGAGGCTGAGGCAGAAGGATTACTTGAGCCCAGGAGTTTGAGGTTGCTGTGAGCTAGGCTGACACCACGGCACTCACTATAGCCTGGGCAACAAGCGAGACTCTGTCTCAAAAAAAAAAAAAGAAAATAGAAAATAATACTTCCCGGCCGGGCGCTGTGGCTCACGCCTGTAATCCTAGCTCTTGGGAGGCCGAGGCGGGCGGATTGCTCAAGGTCAGGAGTTCAAAACCAGCCTGAGCAAGAGCGAGACCCCGTCTCTACTATAAATAGAAAGAAATCAATTGGCCAACTGATATATATATATATAATTAGCTGGGCATGGTGGCACATGCCTGTCGTCCCAGCTACCAGGGAGGCTGAGGCAGGAGGATTGCTCGAGCCCAGGAGTTTGAGGGCTGACGCCACGGCACTCACTCTAGCCTGGGCAACAAAGCGAGACTCTGTCTCAAAAAAAAAAAAAAAAAGAAAATAATACTTCCCAACTCATTTTATGATGCCAGCATTACCCTGATATCAAAATTAAGTAAAGGCAATTCAAGAAAAGCAAACTACATACCAATATCCATCATGAACATATTAAAAGATGTAAAAATCCTCAGCAAAATATTAGCAAATTGAATCCAGCAATGTATAAAAAAGATAATACATCATGACCCAGTGGAGTTTGTACTGTGAATGCGTAACTGATTCAACATTTGAAAACCAATCAATCTGATCTACCATATTAACAGGCTAAAGAAGAAAATCCACACGATCATATCAATAGATACAGAAAAAGCATTTGGTAAAATTCATCCAATCATGATTAAAACTCTTACAAACTATGAATTGAAGGGAACTTCCTTAACCTGATAAATGACATCTATAGCAAACATACAATTAATCTTATTGGAAAGGGAAAAAATTTTCAAATAATATGTTTTTATGTGTAGAAATTCAAAGAAATCTGTAGATAATGAATTAGATTTAATAGCAAGGTTTTAGCAAGATTGCTGATACAAAATCAATATACAAATGTCAATTATATTTCTATTTGCCAGCCCCAAACAGAAAATACAACTTTTAAAAGATACCATACATAACGCCACCCACAAAACCACAATACTACAAAATATTCTTGCAAAAAAATAGAACCTGAAGCTGATTGGGCCTCTAGATTAATTAACTACTTGCAGGAAATGCAAAGGAAAGAGAAATATGCTGAAGATACCATAGATTGTACCTACAGAAACTATAGGACAGTTTCTACAAATAACTTGCAAGAATAGAGAGAGGAAAAGAGAGGAAACCTATAGATTTTAAAGAGATTTAAGACTACTTAAGGAGGAAATGATACACTCTTGGATTTGTTCCAAGATAATCTAGGATGGATAAGGTATAAATAAAATAAGCTATGAGTAATAATTATCAAAGCTGGGTTATGGATGTCTGGAGTTCATTATACTATATTCTTGTATATGTTTGAAATTTTTATTATTAAAGAGTTTTTTTAGGGCTGGGCCCAGTGGCTTACACCTGTAATCCTAGCACTCTGGGAGGCCGAGGCGGGCTTATCGCTCAAAGTCAGGAGTTCAAAACCAGCCTGAGAAAGAGTGATACCCCGTCTCTACTAAAAATAGAAACAAATTAATTGGACAACTAAAAAGATATAGAAAAAATTAGCTAGGCATGGTGGCACATGCCTGTAGTCCCAGCTACCTGGGAGGCTGAGGCAGAAGGATCGCTTGAGCCCAGGAGTTTGAGGTTGCTGTGAGCTAGGCTGACACCACGGGACTCTAGCCCGGGCAACAGAGTGAGACACTGTCTCAAAAAAAAAAGTTTTTTTAAAAACCATTTACAAAAAGTTTGTATTAAATCAACAATCTAGGAATAAATCTAACAAAGATGTTCAAGACATTTACAGATAAATTATTAAATTAGCAGTGCATGTGCCTATAGTCCAGCTACTAGTGGCTGAAGCGGAGGATTGCTTGAGCCAGGAGTTGGAGGCCAGCCTGGACAACCTAAAAGACCTTGTCTCTAAGGAAAAAAATAATTAATTTTATAAATGTATTGAAACCTTTAAAAAGACATATTAGGTAACTGGAGAGACATACTATGTTCAAGAACTGGAAGACTCATATTGTAGAGATGTCTGTTCCTCCCAGATTGACTTCCTAGATTCAATGCAATCTCAACCAAAATCCCAACAGTTTTGAAATTTACAAGCTAATGTTTTTATTTCTTTTTTCTTTTTTTTATTTCAGCATATTATGGGGTACAAATGTTAAGGTTACTATATTGCCCATGTTTTAAAGTTTACATGAAAATGCACAAGCCAGGAATAGCCAAGGTGCTCTTGAAGACAAGGAAGGATATGTTGCTCCACCAGATACCAAGACATTATAAAACTGTAAAACAGAAAAAGAATTGGACCCTACCTCACACCATAAGCAAAAGTCAGTTCCAGTCAATACATTAAAACCAAAATGTGAAAGCAAAACTTTGAGAAGGTGATATTGGAGAACTATCTCTGGGACAAGGAGTTTTTGTTTGTTTTTGTTTTAAGACAGAGTTTCCCTCTGTCATCCTGGGTAGAGTGCATGATAGCATACTGCAACCTCAAACTCCTGGGCTCAAGTGATCCTCCTGCCTCAGCCTCCTAAGTAGCTGGGACTACAGGTACGTACCACACACCCAGCCAAATTGTTCTATTTTTTATGGAGTCAGAGACTCGCTCTTGCTCAGGCTGGTCTTAAACTTCTTACCTCAAGCAATCTCCCTCCTCAGCCTCCAGAGTGCTGGGATTAGAGGAATGAGCCACCACACCCAGCAAGGATGTATTTTTTTATTTTAATTCTTTTTTTTTTTTTTTTTTTTGAGACAGAATCTCACTCTGTTGCCTGGGCTAGAGTGCCTTGGCGTCAGCCTAGCTCACAGCAACCTCAAACTCCTGGGCTCAAGCGATCCTCCTGCCTCAGCCTCCCGAGTAGCTGGTTACTACAGGCATGTACCACCATGCCGTCGTAATTTTTTCTCTATTATTTTTTATTGGCCAAAATTAATTTCTTTCTATTTTTTTAGTAGAGATGGGGTCTCTCTCTTGCTCAGGCTGGTTTTGAACTCCTGACCTTGAACGATCCACCAGCCTCAGCCTCCCAGAGAACTAGGATTACAGGCGTGAGCCACTGTGCCCAGCTGCCAAGGATGTACTTTTTATGATACCAAAATACTTCCCATTAAAAAAAAGATTGATAAATTTAACTAAATTAAAACTAATGTTCATCAAAAGATAGCAAAAATGTAAAAAGGCAAGCCACAGAGTAGAAGAATGTAACTGCAACACATATAATCAACAAAGGTATAATATCTAGACTATATATAAAGAATTTTTACCAATCAATGAGAAAGAGACAACTGTGTAGGAGGATGGTCAAAAGACTTAGACATTTTACAAAAGAAAAAATCCAATGGCTAATAAACGTATGAAAAAATGTTCAATCTCATTAGTAATCAGTGAAATGTAAACTAAAAACAGTGGTATTCCATTACTTATCCATCATGATGGCTAAAATTAAAGACCTCTAATACCAAGTGTTAGCAAGGAAGTAGAAAAATAGGAACTCTCTTACACTGCTGGTGAGAGTATAAACTTGACACTTACAATAGCACCATATGGCATTCTGATGTTGATTTTGGACTCTTCTTATATTTGACTCACTTGGGGACCCCTGGTTGGCCCCCACAAGCAAAATTATTAAGAGAGCAAAATCTTCTGTGGCAGTATCATGAAACCAAGTATTTACTTAGATTAAACCTGGGGGGGGGTTAATTTTTTTTTAAGAGATAGAATCTTGCTGTGTTGCCCAGGGTGGCCTCAAACTCCTGAGTTCAAGCAATCCTCCTGCCTCAGCCCCCTCAGTAGGTGGTACTACAGGTGTGTGCCACTATGCTGGGCTAGAGAGCAACATTATCTCTGCTTATGTTACCAATGCTGGATACTATAATCAAGTAGAACAAAATTATAATTGTCTGATTGTGATTCTAACTGAATTTAATCATAGCACATTTTTTCTATCTTAGATTAGAATTGCTGTGTAGTAATAGTTCCGTTTGTTAAGCATCTACTGTGTGCCTGGTCCTATTTACGTTTTTCGTTCTAATCCTTTACAACAGCCATCCAAGAGGCTCTGAGATGTTACAGATCTTGCTGATAGAATGTTCTATCTAAGATCATGGGCTCTGGTGCCAGACCTTCCCTACTCTCCCACTTGCTAGCTGTGAGATTTGGGGCAAATTGCTCAACCTCTCAATCCTTTAGTTCTCTCATCCATAAAATGGTGATGCAGTTACCTGTGTTGTTAGAAATATTAAATGAATCAATACATGTGAAGTTCCTCGAAAAGTGCCTAACACTAAATGCTCAATACCAGCTAATGAGTGATAAAGCCAAGATTCAACCCAGGCCTGTCTTGACTCAAAATCCCATGGTTATCCCACTATATCTCACAGCGACATGTTAAGGCTTCTAATCTGTGTTACCAGTTAGTGTATGCTCAAGGAATACAGTGCTATTTTCATATAAGCCTATACTTTTAAAACATTTCTAGGAAATTGTCATGAAAAACAAAAAACAGGCTTTATTTGAATGATCTGAAAGGTTGTGATGAGTATGTTTATGATGCTTCATGTAAATTCTTCAAATGAATGATTCTATTTTATCAGCACAAAACTATACATTAATTTTGTTGTTTTTTTTCTTTCTTTATGTACTAGGCGAGTAGCTTGCATTGCCATGGAGAAGACCAAACAGGAGCAGCAGGCCAGCTGTACTTGGTTTGGCAAGAAAAAGAAGCAGTACAAAGATAAATATTTGGCAAAGCACAATGCAGGTAGGGAAAAGTACAACTAGTTACTGGGGCTGGGTTAAGCATCTCCAAAACCTAAAGAAATATAACTTTTCAATTCAGTCTTCAGAGTTCTTTGTCCAAAGAGAACTATACAAAAATCTTCATCAACTTGCAAAACCTTTAAGAAACCTTACCTCTAATTAATATGTTGGTTTATTTGCCAGATATTTTACAGAGCTATAATTTATAGGATGAAAATACTATTTTGAAATAGTATCCTCCAGAACTGAAAAAACCCAACATGTTAAGTCCTCCCCTGAGAGCCTGAGAGTTTGCTGAATCACCAGGATTCTTACCTACTTGGCTGAGATTGGCCTTGAGCAGATACCCTCCCTCCTGGCTTCTCTCTGACCCTTGAAAATAGCCACATGACAGATTATCTAAGGGCAAAGATGTGCTCTTATCAGAGAGCTGTGCTGCAATTGGTTCACTGGTTAGTTTGAAAGAGCACAGATGACATGGATGCTAACTTGGTTAGTCAGTTTCTGTGACTAGTCGTCTTCCCTCATGGTACTTCCAGGCCCCTCAAAGACCAAGGATATTACCTTGGCCCTCCCTTCATACTATGTATGTTTGTCTATATGGAAGCTTGTGTTTAAGTCAAAATGTTCACTTGTTTTGTTAAAAACTGAAATGAATACCAAAAAAGCACGATCTGTCATTGCAATAGAATTCCCAGAAGATTCACAGGATGTAGATTGAGCTAAAAGAAAATGGATGGTGATATATAGAGTGGGATTTACTTATTTTCAATAACTTCTTAATATGACTCCTTTTATAAGGAACTTTTTCTGAGGAATTGAAAGCCCAGACATTGGCATTAGATTATTTCCCAAGGTTTCAGAAATAATTCCAAAAATCAAACATATGGCCAAAAAAACAAGTGAATCCAATCACATATGCCCAATGTGACAATATAATGTTTCTGACAAATATGAAATGCATTTTTCTCTGTAGAATGTTATAACATGCATTAGCATTCACTAGGAAAAATTATTTAGAAACTCTAAATTGTTCACTTCTTAATCAGAGATTAAAAGTAAACATTGTGAAATGTTGTATAGCCTGGGCACAGTGGCTCACGCCTGTAATCCCAGCACTTTGGGAGGTCAAGACAGGAAGATTACTTGAGCCCAGGAGTTTGAGACCAGCCTGGGCAACATAGCGAGACCCCATCTCAACAAAAAATTAAAAAATTATCCAAGCGTGGTGACATGTTGCTGTAACCCCAGCTACTTGGGAGTCTGAGGCAGGAGGATCCTTTGAGCCCAGGAGTTCAAGGTTATAATGAGCTATGATCATGCTGCTGCACTCCAGCCTGGGAGACAGACTGAGACCCTATCTCTAAAAACAATAAAAAAGAAATGTTGTATAATGTGGAATGGATGTTGAGTGGCCACATGGGTTAAGTTTAAATGGTTTAGTTAAATGAGGAGTCTTTCCCTTCACATTAGTTACTTTGTACCACATTTTTATTTCCAATAGTATGTATCATTTCTGATTATGTACTACTATAGAGTACTAGTCTCATAGAGCACTGGTCTCATAATGGCTTTTTTGGTTTTATAAAGGGAAGAAATATTTAAAGCAGACTAGTAGACATATGTAGTAACTATTAAGTAAATGCTCAAGTAGTGCTATTTGAAGAAATACACTGCAGAGCTGAGCGTGGTGGCATGCACCTATGGGCCCACCTACTCAGGAAGCTGAGGCAAGAGGATCACTTGACCCAGGAGGTCAAGGCCAGCATAGGCAACATAGTGAGACCCCCATCTCTAAAAAATAAAAATTAAAAAAATTTTAAATATCTCCAAAGAAGGACTTGTTAAAAAAAAAAAAATTTTAAATACTTGCTTAACACAAAACGTCAGTATTTGCCAAGTCTCCTTAGCAGTATTGCTAAGTCTCCTTAGTTGCCTTTATTTCCATCAGCTTCCAACAATCTAACACAATCAAACAGGCTCACAAGGCAATGTATTGACATTATAAAAATATAAGAAATTTATATGTCTTACCTTGTAATTTTTATAACAGTGTTAAATGATACATATAGATGGCACTAAAATTAATTTAAGCCTAGAAAAGCAAAGAAACGGCTGGTTAAGGCTGTCAGTTGATCATTAGTTTTATACTCTATTGATGGAGGGTGTGTAGACATGAGTGTTCAATTTGCCAACATTCTTTAATTCAGCTCTGAGGAAAAATAAGCGATTTCATTGAAATACTAGAATTCTCTAAATGCTGACAATGAATCAATTGAAGAATTGTGCCAGGGAATCTACATCTGATCTGATAGCCATTGTTTTCCATGGTTCGCTTTTTCTGTTCTTCGCCCACCAGGGAGAGCATCACTGATCTTTTTCTGTTGTTCCCATTCTCTGATTCCTATTAGGTGATGCACAGTGGCCCTGCAAATGCACTTGTGAGCTTAACAGGCAGCCTGAGATAGGACCAGGAATTAGCACACTTGAGTAACCGTGCCGCTTGGGCAAATCACTTAGCTCCTGTGGGCCAGGAAACAGGGGAATTAGGTTAATCAATCAAGGAGATCTCTAATTCTAAAATTCAGTGGATCTAAGATTCTTTCATCCCTTGGCCTGACAAATGGATATCATTTAATGAAGCCAAGTGTTCTCATACTGTCCCTTGTCTCAGGTTTTAGCTCTCTGGTAAACATTGCCTATCAAGGTTGAAAGGTATTGCCTTCAATATAGAAGGCAGGAGCCTAACAGGAGTAGAATAGAATTGCTTTTCCCTCTGTCATTTGACATTACATCTCTTATCCCAAACCATTTATCTATCTAAGTTCTTGTAAACTTAAAATTTAGAAAAGTGGGGGCAGGGGGACCTACTGCCACCACTTTTTAATTATCGTCAATATTTTCCTAATCAATCGTCTTCCAGGCATCAGAGCCTTCCTTGTCATGCTTAGGGGATTGTTCTATATGTAAGTATTTGTCACTGTATATGAGGCCCTCCTTTGAAAGAAAGTCTGGGCTCCTTAGAAGGTCCCCTTAAGTGTCTTTGTAGAACTTTGTGTTTAGGCTTATTTGTGATTCTTGAATCAGAATATCATCATTAGGGTTTTCTTGTCCACAAAATAATCACTCATGAGCTCTCTTGTTAGTTTCTTTGATGGAGAAAGGATGCCCAGCTTTTTGCCTGGACTTTCTGAAATACACTTCCTCACAAAGCCTAGTATTCCTTTACGCCACAATCTCTTCGGGTTTCTTCTGCTTCATCAACCAGCTTCATCAACCCCTTTGTTCATTAGAAAGTCTAGAAGAATTATTTGCTTAGTACCACCTTTACAAGAGATTAGCTTGTCAAGAAGCAAAGTCAGGTATTTTATCAGTTGTTCTGCTTTTAGCTATGATGAAAGTATGTCCTAATTTGTAGAATTGCCCATATAAAGAATTGCTCTAAAATAGTAGAATGCTATTAATATTAACCTCCATTGGTAAAGCAGGTGCTTTGAAAACTTGGAAATATCTTAGTCTTTAATACCAAGAACTAGCTAGATGGGCTCATGGGCCACAGATCAAACTATATCTCTGAAGGATTTTCCTGGCTTTTTTAGAAGTTGATTATAAAATACAGTATAATCTTTGTTCTTTCCATAGTACTCAGTAAATTAAAATAAAGGCCATATATTTTGTTCCCTGCTTCAAATCTTTGAGAATTCTTCATATATTGATGGTAAGATCCAAATCTTATCATCAAATTCTGAAGTTGTTTATACTTGTGGTACAAATGAAGGATGGGAACTTCATCAGTATCTGGAACGAATAGGAACAATAATACTAGATTAGTTATTTCCATTTCTGTCACTAAGAAATTCCATACACCTAGCTAAAGCAGAGTTCTGTTCAGACTGTGTTGCCTATATCTCACATCATAAAATAGCAGCCTATGAGCTGAATTTGACAAATAAGTAAATTTTGTTCTCACACACACACACACAATGTTTAAAATAATTTTAATAAGTTATCATATTTGAAAGGCTATTTCACATAAAATTTGGGTTTCAGACTTGCCTTGGAAGAACAGGGAATGGGGCAACACCGGGTCCACTTTCTCTCTTAGCATCTCTGGGCTGTTAATGGCCGCTTTGAATGGATACTCATTCTCCAGCACCCACCATCCCCACCACTCTGTTTTTGCACCTGGCCTACTTCATTCAACCACATTAGCTGCCTGGCCACTTCAGACATTTAAGTGTGCACTCCTTGGCCCAGTGCTACCATTATATAATGCAATTTTTAATTGGAGGTGTTTACAGTATTTGAAGATATTTGTAGCTTTTCCAACTGAGACAAGGATTCGATGTTAATGGCTTTTTTATGGAAAAGATTCAAGTAGAAAGTAATTACATAAATACTTAAAAGAAGTGTCTGGAATGTTGAATAGCTTACCAGGAAATTAGGGTGATATGAGCAAACTATGCCAGACAGTATTTCTGAATCCTTGGGAATAGATTTGATTATGATGTGTCTATTTTTTTTTATAGCAAATACATTCTCTGCAAGATATAAAAGACTTTTAGCCACATACATTTGGTGCAAAAAGTATTGTTGTGCTCCTGGAAGAACTGTACTCTATAGGCATTGAGATTCCTCAGTCCCAGGACTTCCAAAAGTCAGTTCTAGATCAAGTTACTAATGTAAACTTTTTAAAAAATTGAAAAGTATTAATTAATTAATTTTTTTAAATGTTAAAGTCTTGAAATACCCTATTTACATACATACATATGAACATAGAGGATTTCTACAATATCATTCCTAAGTGTGTTTAAATTATGCTTAATACCACAAATTGGTACTGTTGACTTTAAAAAGTTGTTCTTTTTTTTTTTTGTCTTGAATCAAACAACTCTAAAGACGACAAAAAGTGGCCCATAACTTCATTGCCCTGTTGACATTTTTAAAAATATGATAATAGTCATAAGCACACAAAATTAGAAATTGCAAACAGTACAGGAAGGTACAAAGTGAAAAGTGAAAGGCTTCCACATCTACATTCTCTGATGAGGGTTTCTTGTAACTATTCCCAGACAGAATTTCTATGCATATGCTAATATTTAAAACCCACTGGCTTTTTTATAAGGATATTGTCAAATTTTTATTAAAATGAGTTTGTTTCTTAATGTGATTTATTTGCCTTGTGTTTAGAATATTGCATGATAAAGTTTATTTTGTGCATATTATACTTTTATTTTACTAATATATGAAAAGCCATATTTCAATGACCCCTGTACATTTTTCATGCTGTCTCACTCCCAATGGCCTCTGTGCATGTAAGTAACCTGTTGAATGACTATGCCTCTGTGTTTTTGACAGTTTCCTTTTATTAAGTCCTTTTTTTTAATCAGCAAGCAACTTAAAACTTTTAAAAGTTCAGTCTTTAAGTGCTCTCCTAATATTCCTTGTATCTCTTATTTTGAAATACCCTTTTTTATTGTTTCTCAACCCTCTGACCATGTGGTGATTTCATTTAGACTAGAGTAACCTCTTCATGCTACTCATTTATGGTTAAGATATTGATGTTTAACATATCTGTTCATTGTCTGTGGTGTTGATTGTTGATATCTAACTCATTCTTATGTGTTAAAAAAATGACAAGTCTTAATCTGATAGGATTAGAGTTAGGACTCTGTAGAGGGGGAGGGATGTGTATACCATTCAGAAAGCTTGTATCATCATCTTACTCTTTGGTGAGATGTTTGATTATTTTTATATAATAAAACATATCAGCTTGTTGCTGCACTTCTTTCATAAGGATACTTTTTCTTGGTGGAAATATCACTCAGAGAGCAATAGGTGTAGAAAGCAATGCCATCAGCACTCCTGCTTTTATTTTTGCAACTCTCATCACTCCATTGCTGCTGCAGACTAGCTAGCTCTACAACAGAGAGCCTCATGTTCATTTTAATTTTGTGAATCTGCAATTCTGAACACAGAAAACATTTCTTGGTATTCAGATGTTGCTAGAAAATATGCTTTAAGACTTAGTCAACCTTTATGGAATCAAGTTATCAAAAGAAAACAAATGCACAAGTACCCATTAATATGTACTAACCCTCACCTTAATACGTTGTATTTCTTTTCTTATATATTTTGAGAATTATACTTTTTGTTTGTTTGTTTGTTTGTTTGTTTCTGATATATTGCATTCCAGAGTATTTTATTTGGCATTTTTAGATTCTCTGCTACTGGGAAGATCACCAATGTTAAGGACTGAGCTGATATTCACAATCATTTGGCTATATTGTTTCAGGGAGTAGAAGTTTCTCTTAATGATTAACTGAAACATCCCAGATTCCTTTATTGCACTATGAAATCAATTTTATTGGATTTATTTCAACCCCTCTAAAATCCAGGGCTTATTCAATATTCTTTATTAAAAAAAAGGAAACTTCAGTGTATAACTAACAGCATTTTGGTATGACCATGCAAAAAATATTATAGGAAATATAGACATAGGATTTTAGCCTTTTGTGAGAATTTTCAAATGTGTGTGAAAGTTGGACCACATTGAACTTCAACAGGAATGGTCATCTGCTCAGGAAAGTTTGGTACATTACTTGAAATTGTTTTTGTAATGGTGTTAAGAGGCAGGGTTCAAAAAAATAACTTGCTGAAGTATTTCTTCTCAGTCTGTAACGATTAGAGAACTACCCCCTTGCAAAAGTTTCCAAGCATAGATTCTGTTTCATGATTCTTTCCATCCTGTCCATCCTTATCCATTACACACAGGCTGCCCAAGTAATGACTGACAGGGTTTCAGGCCCAGGGAAGCATGTTCTTCTACTTACATACCCAAGACTTTCCATTGAATGGATATCTGGATTATAATAAAACTTATGAGATGCTCATTTAAAAGCTTGTGAAATAGTTACCAAACTTGACTTTAAAAGAATCTAGCGTGTTACCTTTATCAGCTCTGTTGAAAGAAAGAAACATGAAGTTAAAGACCAACTAGCTGTCCATGCATTTCTCATCCATCTCTATGAATGATCTGGCTGGCCCCTCTCTTGGTTACCTTCAGTTGCATTCATGCTATATTCATGTTGGTCACTGTCTGTAGATTTTTTTCCTTTTAGTAATGCTGATTTCTTAGAATTAGAAAAATATGAACAGCATGTGGTTTTGACTGAATTCATATGATTTGTTGGATACTGCATGAAAAGATATGCAGTAGAAAAGATATGCAGTATCTTTTAGAATTGGACTTTTATGCATGTGTTCAACATATCTTTGGATGCCCCTGGTTCTAAAGTGCATTTTCATGGGCTTAAAAGTGAAATTTCCTCCCTAAAGGGTATAGACTTAAATTATATATAAGCCATAAACCATAAGTTGGATTCATACTTTTAAAGACATGGTTTTAATATAACTGTAGTTTTGCCAGTAAAATTATAATTTACCTACAATGAAATATTCATGCTGTAAATTGACCTTGCTTCTAAATCTTTGCATTTTAGTGTTTGATCAATTAGATCTTGTCACGTATGAAGAAGTAGTAAAACTGCCAGCATTCAAAAGGAAAACACTAGTCTTATTAGGTAAGTTTGATTGTGTAAGTGACTTGCTTCTGCTCACCTTCAAAACATTTCGTGAACATTATTAAGTGTTGTCAATTTTAACATTATTTTTAAACAATGACATAGGTGCACATGGTGTTGGGAGAAGACACATAAAGAACACCCTCATCACAAAGCACCCGGATCGGTTTGCGTACCCTATTCCACGTAAGCAATGTCTCAGTCTCTTTTCATTATATTTTTCCTATCACTTTTTTAACCTTATAATATACATGTTTTTTGATTACATAAGTGGTAGCTGTTCATTGTAAGAAATCTATAAAATCCAAAAAGAACAAAAAAAAATGAGTTAACAGTAATTCCAACTCTACTTCCCCAATAATAGGTACTATAAATATTTCACTACATACCTTTCCAGGCTTCTCTTAGTGCAAATATATATATGGTTTATGTGTATGTCTTATGTTTGTGTTTTTTAAGTAAAATTAGGCTCATTCATTATGTTTGTAACTTAATTTTTCTAACAGTATGTCATAAATGCTACCTAGATGAATTATTCTTCAGAAAAACAAGTTTTAATAGTTATATAGTTTTGTCTAAGACAATATTTTCCTCAATCAGTATCTAAATTATTGACTTCTTATCACTTTTAAAACCCAGTGTGCTTTTAGTTGTTTATTATAAAGAATTTCAAATCTGTAAGATTTTTAATTCCCCTTATTTTCTATATCTTATTCTTAACCTCTTGTCCTTTCCATTTCCTTAACTGTAAATGAAGTAATTCTATAGTTGTAATGAGGATTTGGGATCATGTGTATGAAGCACTTAGCATATGGAGGATAAGTGGTCTATCTTACCACTGTCATTTTATTATTATCGTCATTATTCTAAAGTTTAAAATTTCAATCCCGAAAGCTTTCTAGCAGATAGAGCTCTGTTCAGGGTGGGAAGAGCTGAAGGAGAATGATTTCTTTTAAGGGCACCAGGAGAAAATGTAAAGATTGGCTCCATCCTATAGGGTCTTCAGATGCCTTCCTGAAGCAATGTCAACACTACTTACAGTTATCTGTACACCTCAGAGAGACAGGAGGCTTAAGAAAACTACCCTCAGCTGGGCATGGTCGCTCTCGCCTGTAATCCTAGCACTCTGGGAGGCCAAGGCGGGAGAATCGCTCGAGGTCAGGAGTTCGAGACCAGCCTGAGCAAGAGCGAGACCCCGTCTCTACTAAAAATAGAAAAAAAAATAGCTGGACAACTAAAATATATATAGAAAAAATTAGCCGGGCATAGTGGCACATGCCTGTAGTCCCAGCTACTCAGGAGGCTGAGGCAGGAGGATCACTTGAGCCCAGGAGTTTGAGGTTGCTGTGAGCTAGGCTGACACCACAGCACTCTAGCCCAGGCAAGAGAGTGAGACTCTGTCTCAAAAAAACAAAAAAAAACAAAAAAAAACCCAGAACCCTATGTGATTTACACAAGAAAAGAAGTTTACCAAATATCATTTCACTGGGTGCTACTGGCTCTTTCTAGTTAAACACTTTAAAATGTTCTTTTAATTCTCCTTATGTCTAGATCATGAGTACAGCAAACTCAGCTAACATTTAACTTCTTCTTGACCATGTAACAATTGAACTTTCATGTTATTAAGTGGCCAATTAACTAGTTTGGTTTTAAAGCTTACCCTTGCTGATCGGTCATGTCTACTCTCTAAAATATTTGACCCCAGATGTATATATAACATATATTTAACTACTGAGATGACTGAAGATGGTACATCAATATATGATGCCATTTCTTCAGCTTTTGATGTTCCTGGAAAAAGGGTTCCTCTTTAAAATGTCTACATTCTGACATCCATGAGCACTTGGCAGTTCTAATGGTCTAGCAAGAAAGAGAGAATTTCCTATTGGTTTGGGCTCATGTACACAGCAAAGAGTAGCATAAATTTGTTCTTGTTCAAGGAAGGAAGCAAAGAGGAAAGGAGGAAATTGAAAGAAAGAATAAGGGAGAGTGGAAGGAAGTAAGGGAGGGAGGGAGGGAGAGAGAGAAAATTAAAACAAATGTTCCTGATTCATCTAGAAAAACTTAAAGTGTGTTTTATAGGATACTGGTCCTATTAGTAACCACAGAACTAGGGTTATTGGCATATACTTTAGTATACACATACTTAGGTGAGAGGTGGACAAACCTTTTCTGTAAAGGACCAGATAATAAACATTTGAGGCTTTGATGACCATGTAGTCTCTGTCACAGCTACTCAGTTCTGCCGTTGTAGTATGAAAGCAGCCATAGACAATATGTAAACAAATGCATATGGCTGTGTTTTAGTAAAACTTTATTTAAAAGAACAGACAGTTCTTGTACTTACACGAGCCAGTTTACCACCTCCCAGTTTAGGTCTTTCATAGTAATTATGGCCACGTATGGCTAAGGTCATTGGGTTTTCAATATGGTGTGCCTTTTGCTGTATTCTAACATTCTCTTTTTGCAAAATGCTATGGACCAGCACTATCCTATAGACTCTCTGTGATAATGACAGCGTTCTATATCCGCACTGTCTAGTACAGTAGCCATTAGCAACATGTGGCTACTGAACCCTTGAAATGTGGCTGGTAAGACTGAGGAACTGAAATTTAAATTTTATTTAATTTATTTAAATTTAAATAACCATATGTAGTTTTCCATTTTTTTTTTTTTTTGTCCTCCTTTTTTCCTTCTGCTCAAGACCCAACTGCATTAAAGCATCCAGTGAGTTATGTTAATCTTGGGTCATTTCTTCTGGAATGGCCCATCAAGGGATGGAATATATCTCACCTAAACTGAAAGATTCACCAAACCAAACAACTCACTGGCTGCTGTGGTCTGATGTACACAGATAAATGCGGTTTCTAGAATTTAGTTCTACAAAGCTACTGGGGATGAGAACAGGGAATGTGCAACCTACACTAAAGAATCCATAGCTTTTAGGAAGAGATTGGGTCTCAATAAGTCTATTGGGAACATAAGATCATCAGCTCAGCCTTTTAAGCCTCTCATGACATGTGACTTTGCAGATACAACCAGACCTCCAAAGAAAGATGAAGAAAATGGAAAGAATTATTACTTTGTATCTCATGACCAAATGATGCAAGACATCTCTAATAATGAGTACTTGGAGTATGGCAGCCACGAGGATGCCATGTATGGGACAAAACTGGAGACCATCCGGAAGATCCACGAGCAGGGGCTGATTGCCATACTGGACGTGGAGCCTCAGGTAATGCCTAGCCACCGCGAACAGCTAACATCCTGCCTGCATGTGGATAAGCTCAGATCATGAAATCAAAAATGCCACCAGAAAGTCGTGGGTCACATAAGAATTTCATAAACTACAGGAAAGTATCAGTTATCAAGGTATCATGGGTTAACAGTTTAGAATGCAAAGAGTGGGGAACTTGTGGCCTTGGGGGCACTTGTGGCCTTTCTGGATCCTTGAGTGCAGCCTTTTGACTGAATTGAAATTTTACGAAATAATTCCTTTTAAAAAAGGGATTTGTTCTAAGAAGTTTGGATTTGGTTGAGGGGCCACATTTGGGGGTCTGGAGGGCCACATGTGGCCTTGAGGCCGCAGGTTCCTCACCTCTTTAGGAAGCAGAGATTATTCTCTTAAAAGGTTTATTATACCCAGAAGCTCAAAAAAGTACCTGATTGAGTCTATTCCTGCAAAAATCCTACAATCATCTGACCACAGGATGAGACTCTGGCACTTTGTTAACACAACCAGGGACCTTTCCTCTCTTGGTACAGCTCATGCTGGGCCATCAGAGCCTCCACCAGCAGCTTATGTTAATCACCAGTGAGACTGATCCTGGGTGGGGCCTGGGTCTAAAACACAGCACTAGCTTTATGAAAGCAAGCATGAGTGAGACCAAATGTCAGATGGAGCGGGGATGGAACCTCATGGTGGCTCTCAGCCTCTGCCATCTCTGTACCTGAGGACAGTGCCTGCCCCTGAGCTAAAACTAGGAGAGAGATGGAAAACTGGGAGAGGACACAAAGGAGAACCAGACACAGAGATGATTAAATGATTTGTAGATAATTCTTATGCAAGAAACAATAGGAATTATTAAATTTGAAAAAGAGAAAGCTGAAGGCTTCGCATCATAAATGCTGACAAGCCGTTTTTTCATCCTTGAATACAAACCAAGTAGATATGGGGTGTAAAGCATGGTAGGAAGGATTTGGGAGTTGTAGGTGTCAGGGTAGGTTATAGGAGAGGCTTGTGGGTGCCCTTGTGACTCCAGGGTCTACTATTTCTAAGACGGATCTGTACCTAAACTCCCTTATCACTTAGTAGTAGAATCAGTCCACCCCCTGCTGAGATGGTAGACCAGCTCCCTTCAAGCAGGCTCTGTTTTATCAGGAGGCTTACCTGGCTATTGTAGGCAGGGTGAATCCCTGTTCAGGGGCTATGACATGAGACTTGGTCCCCTAGCCATCCTCAAAGCAAGGACAGAACCTGCATAGCCAGGTCTATGTGACCTGGGGCCTGACGGCTCAATTTCTGGATTCTAAATCCTAACTCGTGGCCAGTGGGTTCACCCATTCCTGTTTTACAACAACTAACGGGGTTCTTGAACTTTGAGCTTTGAAAATCACAAGGAGATCTGGTTAAAGGGCTAGGGAGGAGAGCAACAGTATGGTGAACACTATAGTTTACTTAACAATGAACTTGGACCTATATAGAACTAAATATATAATGTGTACCACAGATTGATTTTTGTTTAACTACTAATCCCTCCTTACTAGGGATTGGAAAAATCTTCTGGCCAGGGGTGGCTAGAGGCAAAGTCTCAATCCTGGTCCTGGTCTTCGACATCCTCTCCTTGGGTTCCACACTGGTCTTCACCTGAACGTCGTTTTCTGCTGGTAGTAATGTCTCTAGCAGTATGCTGGCTGCAGGGCTCCTCAGACTCCCTCTGCATTACCTAAATCCACTTTCGAGGGCTTTCTGCCTTACCTGCCACCGCTGCTGCCGCCGCCACCACCACCGCTGCTGCTGCTGCTGCTGCTGCTGCTGCTCCACTCATAGCGTCCAGCTCTCCCTGTCTCCTTGCCCTTGCACAGCCATGCATTGCTCTGCACTGCTGAGCCGGAGACACTTCTCTCGACCTCCTCAAGACACCCACAGCAGTTACTTTACCCATTGCACTTGGCCCCAGAGCACCTCCTCGCCCCAGCTGGGCACACTCTCCCCTGCTCCCCTGACTGCTGGATGAGCTCACCTGCACCCTTCTCTCCTGCTTCCTCAGTCCCCACCTCTCAAAACTGTGATCTCTTGGGTCCACCTAACCCAGAGGGTCAGCCATAGGTGTCCTGGTCTCTGCCTGAGCCTGTTTGGGCCAGCGGTCCTGGAGATAGTGATTGCTTCAGTCCTGCTCTTCCTGTTGGTCTCCTTGGCCACTCTGGTCCCAGGCTCTCCTGCCTGGTCCAGCCTCATGCCAGTCCTGGTCTCAGGCTGACCGTTGCGTACTACAGTACAGCTTGGGGTGTCTGCAGTCTGCACCGACTGAGCTTTACCCTTGGGCTTTCCTGCCCTCAGCCCACTCTCTCCCTAGCTGGGCAGGGCCCTCATCCTGTCTTCAGGATGCCTGTGGCCAAGAACAACTTGTTTCAGGCACAGCCTCATTGCTCCAGGGATGCTCTTTCCTTAGGACATTTTTCCTGTGCCCCTTTCCAATCCCAGTTTGTTAGATTAACCCTTCTACTATATCTCACGGACAGTTTGATCCACCAAACTTATATTAAGCACTTATTATACACCAAGTACCAGGTCAGGAACTAAGAATACAGTTCAGAAGACAAGTTGGTGAGGATGAAATTCCTTCCTTGATATACATCAGAAACTCTCCATAACAGAAATAAATGCTTTGTGGCATTTTTTTAAATCCTCTCACTTCACGTGGACCATAGAAAGACCACCTAACACTGCTATTCAGCTCTTTTAGTGCAGGTCTAATACTTTGTGCCATCTTATTTTAGACAATGCCAATTTGAGCACATATCCAATAATACTATATAAGATGTTGTGATCCAACTTTAAAACTAGAAGACCATGGTAAAGACATTAAACTTTTAAAAAATTAATAACCTGGCTTCTTATAAAATAATAATAGTGTTCTCACAGTGCTTTATATTTTGCCAAGTGTTATTACTCCTTACCTAATCCTTGGAATGCTATAAGATACAGATCAGTGTCTACTTTTGTAGATGAAGATACCAAGGCTTAACATAACTGTGACTCAACTAAGGTTTTACAGCCAATTGATAGTGAGGTTTGATCTTGAACTATGTTGGTTGTCTTATTTTCATTTTTTACAATAAATCCCAACCTCCTCTCACTGTGCCATCCTAGAAGAGATAACCCTGGGAATCCTCAAGATGGTCCACTTTACGTGTAGTAGTAGAATTTAAATCTTAATTTTTGTTAACATTTTGAAAACTCTATAAGGCAGTCAAACCTGAGAAAAACTACAGAATTTATTTCTCATGAAAATAAGGCTATGGCTCAGAAGATTATCTGTGTCCCTAAAGCTGAAACTATTATAGCTCCAATGTATGATCAGAGCTTAATGTGACAGTTTTAGATTTTAACTTTATTCTGATGTATCCATTTACAACATTAAAAAGTTAACAACAGCCGGTCGGGGTGGCTCATGCCTGTAATCCTAGCACTCTGGGAGGCTGAGGCAGGCGGATTGCTCGAGGTCAGGAGTTCAAAAAAGTTAACAGTAGCAGAATATTTGTGGTTCTGCTTTTGCCCACAGAGACAAAGGTCATCACCAAGAAGTAGCTTACAATCTTGTTAGGACTGTGTACTTCAAAGGAAGAGCCAGCCTCTGAACCAGAAGCTATTTTGTTAAATCGGGTGGCTTTCTTGAGATTGGTTTTGTGGTCGCTGTGCTCTTCCTAAACCCTTAGAATTTTGTACAAAATGACCCAGATACCTTGCCCCTATGTAATTTTTATGTTTGCAAACCAGATTAGTCTTATAGATATCTGCATCTTAGATACTTAGGTCAAACTTGAGGATGGTAACCTGAGATTAATTACTGGCCACAACTGAGCCATAAAATCAATTTTATCCCCACGGAACAGAACTAAAGAATTAAGTTAAAATGTTCAGTTAATGTTACTTTGACTATTTGAATCTAGCATGTTTTCAGTGATCTTTCTAGAGTGTATTCTGTCTCCCTTAACCCCCTTCCCCTCCCTCCTCTCTCTCTCTCTCCCTTTCTAGGATTCAGAGAGAGAGAGATTTGCCTGTGAATGTTAATAAATTTGTGTCTCATCTTGATTCAAGAAGAGGGTTTAGAGTTCATCTTTAGGTCACCTATTAACGGCCTAAGAAAGAGGAATCCTTGTGAGCAGGTCCATTTCCTGTCCCTGAAGTAACTTTGAACCTCAGCCGGGCTGAGAACTGCACCAAAAATGGCACCCACCTGAGACCCATAAGTAGAGCAGAGTATGGGGACAGAGACCTTCAAGAACAGATGAGGGGCCAGGCACGGTGGCTCATGCCTATAATCCTAGCACTCTGTGAGGCCAAGGCAGGAGCATCCTTTGAGCTCAGGAGTTCGAGACCAGCCTGAGCAAGAGCAAGACCCCCGTCTCTACTAAAAATAGAAAGAAATTAATTGGCTGACTAAAATATATATAAAAAATTAGCCAGGCATGGTGGCACATGCCTGTAGTCCCAGCTACTCGGGAGGCTGAGGCAGGAGGATCGCTTGAGCCCAAGAGTTTGAGGTTGCTGTGAGCTAGGCTGATGCCATGGCACACTAGCCAGGGCAACAGAGTGAGACTCTGTCTCAAAAAAAAAAAAAAAGAACAGATGAGGAAATGTGTGGTGACTCTGCTGAAGATAATGAGGCCTACTAGACAAGAAAATCTCACTCAGCATTTGAGGCATCTTAGAATTTTTGAAAATACAATAATACAAGATAGAAATGAGAAATGAAAGCCATGGAAAGGAGGGGGAAGCAGAGATGCTAACCACAGGGGCTACTGTACTTACTGTGATAAACATTAAATTTGGCTCTGAACTTCCTGGCCACTAAGGCAAAAATGGGAATCAAGGAATATAACCTGATTCTTAGACACAAGAAGCCTTTGGCAATGTGATGAACATGGCCCTCATTGGTGGTTTTATGCAGCAAATGTAGAGCAATCCTCATGTGTTTATGGATATAGACTTAGAGATGGATAATCTGCACATAGCTAAACTAATGTTTTCTAAGGAGTTTGTTTTCTGTTGTTATAATATGATAGCAGGCTAGAACTGAAAGCATTCAAAGGATTGGGCAGGTAACAGGCTGGGTCACTGAGTGGAGGAAAAAATTTCATGCCCAGTGCGTCATCCTTGACTTCATCCGCTGCTTCATCGTGGGTTCTGTTGAGCATCCAGGCTGCATGGACTTCCATCTGGCACTCGAAGTAGCTTCAGGGAGAGAAGCAAATGGGATTTTTTCCCCATTTCAGTTGCCCAGAAGCTGGCTACGGGCGTGTGTGTGTGTGTGTGTGTGTGTGTGTGTGTGTGACGGAGAGTAGGGTGATGAGAAAACCTTCTGTCTCTTCTGACGCTGTATTCACCTGATCATGAGCATAGGAAGGAAGGAAAAAAGGCCTAAGATAATATTGACAAAAAGGACATTTCTAAATGAGGATCCCTTTTAGCTCGATTGAGCTATATATGGACTTTTTCATGATGTTTGTTCCTTGTTAAAGTCTTCAGTCACAGAAGGATTGGCAAAGAAGCTGTTAGTTATGTCTTTCAAAAATTAACATTTGCAAGCCTGAAGATCTTTCTTATGATGGGAATCTGAGTCTGTGACTTTGACAATTAAAGAACTTTGATGGACAGATACAATGTGCCAGTCTCCCTTAACCCCCAAGAAGATACTGTGTGACCAAAATTCAGAAATAGAATCCTAGTGAAAGTGAGCCCTGTACTAAAAAAAGAAAGAAACTTTAATATCAAATTTGTTTCTTACATGCCTGTATATGCAAAGAGACCAAGAGAGTCCCTTCAGCCAAGAGAGCAGAATGTGCTCTAGTTGAACCTGCCTCAAAAAACAAGATAAATTTTAAGCAAATTATATTTACTGTTTTCACATTTAATTTTATCCTAAAGGCAGTTTATGCCAGGTGCCATATTGGGCCTGAGGGAGAAACTGAACAAGATGTAGTCCCTGCCCTCAAGGAGTGTACCTGCTAGTCCCTGAGGACCTGGGTTTCCAGTGTGGTGGGTACTTCAGGAGCACACAGGAGAGGCCCAGAGCTCACAAATAACTTTCCAGAGAAAAGAACATCAGTACTGAGTTCTAAAGGATTACTCAGCCAAGCAAATGGGAGAGTGGGAAAGGGGAAGAGGAGATGGGAAGTCGCAACAGAGGGGGCAGTAAGTAAAAAGGCCAGGAAGATGGAGAGAGTCTGGCCCTTTTCTGGAACTGAAAGTATTTCTTAGTAAGGAGGGGAAAAGGCAGAGAGAGGTTGAAGAGGTTGAGCACTGGCCCACTTGTGAGGAAGGGACCTGACATTCATGCTGAGGAGTGTACCTTTTATCCTGAGGTGAAGTGGGAGCTATTAAAGGATTTTGTGCAGGGAAGCCATGGGATTTGCATCTCAGAAAGATCATTCCAGTAGCAGGGTAGAATATGGATTAGAAAGCAGCAAAATTGGAGGCAGGGCAACTAGCCTAATTGCAATTACAATAAACCAGGCAAAAAATGGAGCAATAGGAATCAGGCAAAGCAAATAAATTTAAAGACCATTTAGAAAGTAAAATATGTGGGCAACAGAATAGATGTTTTAAATTCTATATAAAGGGCAGGAAGATATCACCCCCACACATAGGCGTTAATTACCTGTCAGTTACTTATGAATTGAGCACCTGTATGTATTGGGTTTTGTTCCTTGGAAAAGAGTTTGTAATCTCCAAGAGTGTGATATGAACTGACACAGTAATCCTTTAGCAGAATCAACTCCTGCAGCATCTGACTGCAGTTCTGCAGTACATCCATGCAAACTAATAACTTGCACAGTTAGAGGTTTTCAGTGTCTTAGAAGGGAACTGAAAGGGGCCTCAGGTCCTTCTCCCTTGAGTACAGCATTTTCATGTGGGCCTACTCAGTGCCCATAGCCACCAGTGTCTTTAGTGGCAGGACCAAGACACAAATCCTGGGGCTCCTGCCTCCAGCCCTGGGGAAGGTTCCCCTTCCCCGTGAGTCCCATGGGGCCTTTCCTCAGGACAATTCAGAAGGCCTTATGTAAGTGTGAATGGAGCCCTCACAGTTACAGTGGCCAGGATGTGCTCTCCTTGGTCAGCAATTTGAAATTTGAAATGCGATGGACTGGGCTCCAGATCAGTAGTAAAGCCAGCCGACAGGTCTAAGTCTACCCTAAAATGTAAAAGTCAGGCTACAACTAATAACCAGGTTTAACTGAACATTAACCCACAAAATCAGTATTAACTTTTACTAAGAAAAATAAATCAGATTGATTCATGAGATTTCTAAGAAAAATGTCCATTTTATCAGCTTTTATTTTCTGATGGCTGTTTGTCCATCCTTTAGAAGAAAAGGAGGAATAGAAGTTATGTATAAAGTTGATAAATTTAATAATACCTTTCCTAAAATTTAAACCAAGGGCTTAAAATTTTTAGCTGTATAAACTTTTATAGGCTTATTTGAAATTTACATTATTTATTTCTTCTTTTAAGTCTCTCTCTTTTTTTTTAACACAGGCACTGAAGGTCCTGAGAACTGCAGAGTTTGCTCCTTTTGTTGTTTTTATTGCCGCACCAACTATTACTCCAGGTTTAAATGAGGTAAGAATCAATCTGTTTAGCCTCAGATAAGCTCACCCCATTGTAAGGATCCATGTGTTGTGCATTCCAAACCAAAGCCCCATCACGTTAAGACAACTAAATGAAACTCAGCTTTGTTGTTGCTGCTGGGCAGTAAGATTTCCAGAGCTTGAGGTCCTCTTTCAGTATTAGGAATTAAGCAACATAAAACTGTGGTTCTTCTGAGATCAGAATCATTAGACAAATTCAAGCCTTAGTCCCCAGCACAGTCTGAAGCATGTCAGTCCACATTTGTAGCAAAAGGCTGTCTGGTGAAAAGGGATGTGGAATAGAATAGAGCATAGGACAGCCTGTGGCCTTATCAATAAACCTACTTGTAAAGCCTGAGGGCGTCTCACACCCTCCAGGGCTGCCGGCCCTCTCCCTCTCCTGGTAGGGATTGTGCTAAGGCTGCAGCCCCTGGGGCCAGCTCAAGGCCAAGCACTGCCTTGCCTGAAGAGAGTTAAAAGGCATCCATGACCTTGGCCGGGCTGCCCAGGTTCCCCTAGACAGCCTCTGGAGTGGAACCTGCACGGAATTTCTCTCCCGGCCCCTGGAGACTACCAAACCTAGAAATGAGCTCTGTCCACTATCAAGCCAACTCAAGTCAGCAGCTGCCACAGACGTAGTGCCTGTGCAAGTTGGCTACACCGTGGTACCAAGCTGATCTAAAAGGTTTTCTATTGCTGACAAGATAGGAAACATCATTCTCATGTGTCTGGTGAGCATAGCTGTGCCTGTCTGCTGTAGGTTCCTTAGTTAAGAGGAGACTCCTATTCAAAGTTATCCTGAAGACCGTTACTTTCACAGGTTCTAGAAACCATCAGAGGAATCTTGGCTCTGTTCAGTAAACACAAGCCTAAACTCACCCAAGCTCAAAATACGGTTAAATCAAGGTTTGGAAATTTTCACTTTGTGTACCTTGATGAAAAATTAAATATTTAGATTTACCTGTGTTATTCATATTTTCAGTTATTATTTTTTGTCATTTCATTTGCAAAATGTTGAAAGAAAATTCTACTTTCCCATCTTATTTAATATACAAGCATATTTGAAACTCCATATTATGGTTAGCTTTTGTCCTTTGGTTGCCATGTATTTTTCTTGAATTATCATCTTTGCTTTGTTTTTGTTTTGCCTGTTTTCCTGCCCCTTTACTAATTTTCCATAGCTGCCAAAATGGTGCAGAAAATTGCCTGTAAGTACCAGCTAGGAGGCGATGAAATACAGCCTTGTTTCTTTTAATAGATTTAGAATGTAGACATTTTGTTCCCACAAATCCTTGCTTTCGCTGTTAGAATAAAGGCATTTTGTTTTCACTGAGTTAAACCCTGCTCACGCGTGAGTTGAGCATGCAGGCAAGCTGTTGTCGAGGAAGAAACTGACAAAGATAGCTTCCTCTTATAAGATCCTTATGAGGGACATTGATTTTTTTGTAAAGAGACCTACATTAAAAATTTGATGCTTTTAGCCATAAATGTTCTTACATATCTTCATCATGCCAGTTTTCTGAGCAAATTATAAATCCCACTTGTGGTTTTTAAAGCCCAGGACTATATATTCAAATCAAACCCCCTAGCCCAGAGAGTGATGTTGTAGGAATTGTTCCTTCTCATACTGGTAGGAAGCACCCCTGTCTTTGGGTAAATAGCGTTTTTGCATTGTGTTGGTTGTAAAAAGCCACAGTGAAAATAGTATGCTTTTTAAGTGCAAGCAGAGCATGTGTTGATATGACCTTAGAAGGTCTGAGGTCTTATCTGCACTGTAGTGGTAAACACTAACGTTCAAAGCACACATGCCATGTCCCTGCTTTGAAATCCCTGTAGAAGACTCCATATATTCTTGGTTCAGAGTGTCCTAATAGAAAAGATTGCGTTCCCAACTGTTGTGGTAGCTGCCCATCCCCACAGCAATGCCAGGAAAGAATTAAGTGTCTTTGTCTCACTTCTGATCTGCTTTCCCAAACGCTGCACCCACAGAGCAGAGCCTTGCCTGGGCCTCTCTGCTGCCTGGCAGGAAGGGTCTCTTGAGAATAACAGTGGGGCCTCAGAGAAGAGGAGGGGTCCTAAGCCAGTGCTGCGTGCTACAGCTCCTAGGTCCTGAAGACACTGCATCTTTTCTTTTCTCTGGAGATCTGTCTCTGTCACAATGGGCTCCCATTTCCTAGTAGAATTGCTCTGTCTTATAGATAATGCTCGTAAAATCCTATAATGACCAGTACCAGTCAGCCAAGTGCTTGTGCTTTCGACAGCATTTAATAAGTAAGCACTTACTATGTGCAAGGCACTACGCCTAGTGCTGGGGCATGGCAATGACAAAGCGCACAGCAACGACAGGATGCACAGCAATGACAGGGCGCACAGCAATGACAGGGTGCACGAGGCAAGTTTACTCCGTAGTTAGAGCAACAAATCAAATAAACAGGTATTTGATTGTATTTATATATATTTAAGACTCAGCCCAATAGCTCGCCGACCTAGTGTTTGGCAGGTGGGGGTAGGGGTAATTGGACTCACAAAGTTTCCTAGTTTCAAATTTGAACTTGCCCTTTGGGAGTTCAGCATAACAAATTTGACCCATGAAGATGCAGAGGCAGACTTTTTTCTGGTGGCCCTCAAGAGATCCCTGTCTTGAAAGATGTGCCATCTTGTAGCATAAGCTATACTCGCATGACAAACTTGGGATCCTGAACTCCCTCCTACTGTTGGCTCAGCCCAGTGAGAGTTCTTAAAATCTGTAGCAAGCTATAGTTTAGGAAACATCCTTTACTGTGGCAAACCTCCCTAGAGTTCAGTAGCTTCTCTTCCTTCAGAATTGTTTTCATAAGAGATATGAGGACCTATGAACAGTGACATTTGTCTGGCCACATCCAGTGCAAGCCAATTTTGGGAGATTCATCAGATACCAGTTGCTGTTTATTTGCAAAATGGCCTTATTCCATCTATTATTTGTTAACATTCAGAAAGCTTTTGCCTCTGGCATCAGCTGCTATTGAGTGAGGGCCATTATATGTAATTGAATTCCTGGAACATGCTGAACCTTTAAGTAGAAAAAATACAACTTAATTTGTTGTCCAAAGGCAGGGTCTTATTGGTACAAATGCAGCTGGGCCCTGAGGCCTGTCTCAAGTGACCAGGGGGAAGGTGGTGAGGAGCTCTGGCCTTGCCACTGTAGCCCTCCTGCTGAATGAAAGAGTGGTTTGAGGCTAGGGCTGGGGCTTCCTATGGGCCTGGGTTAGAGGAATGAGGAAAAAACAGCTTGGGCCACTGTAGCCGCTGGTAACCCATGCACGGCCTTACCCCAACTGACCGTGGGGACAGACACAGCTAGGCTTGAGTGGGGGTGATGTGTTTGCTGAAGAGTGTCTGTTTTCTCTGGTTCATCTGGTTTGTCGTGGAGCCTCCTGTTGCATGTTAAGTAGTCACCGTCCCCTCTCACGGAGCAGACTTGGCCTTGTGTGCAGACGTCGGGGTCTGGCCTTGACTGTTTCTGACGTTGGGACGAACAGAAATGTGAAAAGAGAAGGAATCCAACTGACTTCTCTCTTCTGTTTGCTTTTCCCTTCTCCCATGCCCACCCCTACCTCCATCTCATCACCATTTAGGATGAATCTCTTCAGCGTCTGCAGAAGGAGTCTGATATCTTGCAGAGAACATATGCACACTACTTCGATCTCACAATTATCAACAATGAAATTGATGAGACAATCAGACATCTGGAGGAAGCCGTCGAGCTCGTGTGCACAGCCCCGCAGTGGGTCCCCGTCTCCTGGGTCTATTAGGCCCCTCCCCAGATATCTGAGCTTAACTGGGAACACCTCATACATGGAAAAGCCTCTTTGTTATCGGCCTTGTGTCAGCAGGTCGTGGTCCCTAGAGACTACCTAGTTGTAGTGTGACCTACATTTATAATTATTGTCATGTCCGAATAGATAGGAGGAGAAAAACAATTACACACTAATTTAAAGAGACAGTATCTTTTTTAATCAGTTCTCCTAAACTTTAATAAAATGTATCTTTAAATGTATGTATTATTCAATCCTTTGGAATGTTATATTTTTGGAAATCATAGCTTTTTATTTCCAAGGCCCCTAAAAACTGCACAAAATAGATGCTGCTTTCTATAATCTATTTTAATAATAATAAACAATGATTCTGTTACCTTGACTGGGGGTGGAACACTACATTCTTTTTAGAGTCTGATTTTATGAATTGGAATATCTTTCTTTCCTTTATTTATTTGAAATAATTAGTGTAGTGATTACAAAACAGTCATAAATTTTTAAAGGCCTTTTTTCTCTCTCTTTTTTTTTTTTAGAATAGTATTTTTTTTTAAGTCCTTTATGTAACATCCAGATAATGTGATACTGTCTCTTTGAAGCACCCTGTAAACCTTTTAGAGATTTGAAGTTGGGTCTTGACTCTTAATGCATGTGGACAGTCGCGAGCGTTTATGCTGTCGGTGTGTCTGTGTTGGACAAACAATCTGTAATCTACAGCAAAGTACATTCCATTCATGGGGCACACCCAGGGGAATAAGAATAAAATGCTATTATGACTAAGTTGTAAACCTATGCACATCCCTTGCATTTTGGGCAACTTTATAAAAAAAATACCTGATTTTTATTAATAATAATCATGTAGTGAAATGTGTTTGTAATTTTGTCTCAATTTAATTTGTTGTAAGGTGGGAGGGGGAATTGCTGGTTTCACCATTTCAGATCTGTGTTGTCTAAGAGTATTAATGTTTTAATTAAGCAAAGAAATGAGGATTTTTAATCTGTATGTAATTGTTTTAAAGCACCCATTTTAAGAGAAAATACTGTGCAGTGAAGAAACCAGTTTAGGCATTTGCTATAAACTGAATTATTCCAAAAGAATAATCTATAACAGCCCTGTAAATTCCTTTAAAATGATAACAGGACAGTTTGACCAATTTTTTAAAAATATACTTCCTTTTATGTGTTCAATAATTAAATGCCTTTGGGTCCTTCATTTCATTATAGATTTGTTCAGGTTTCCAAGCTGATAATCTTTTCGATTTTGTAATTTGTTAGATGCTTATTGAACATTGAAGGCCCAGGAGTGAGTATCAGTTGGCAGGGCGACAAAGTAGCCTGCCCAGAGCACAGCTCAGAGGGCCATGCGCCCAAGGGCCATGGGTGTGCTGGAGGCCACCTGTGGTTTCTCCTTCCTCTTGCTGTATCCCTTGGCACAGGGGAATCATCTGTCCTTGTTGCTTTAGAGACATTAACCATCTCATAACCCTTCCATGAGGTCACATTCTTCCAATACAGGAGATTCAGCCTGGGGGTTCTCAGATTCTTTGCCAGAGGTCAGTAAAATGTTTTTCATTAGAGTGTGAGGGTGTGAAGTGCTTATATTAACCTGTGATCCTTGAAAACATACCATCATTTTTGCTTCTTGCAAGTTAGATGGCCTCAGTCACTTTGTGCCTTGGCAGGATGCACAGGGTGTGTTCTGAGCTGAACAGCTCCTCTTAAAGGACCAAACAGAGAAGGCATTTGTATATTCCTTTTACGTTGTCAACATCCCATCCCCCACCTACTATTATTAAATGATGCCGATTTCTTTTTCTGATGTTGTTCTTTGTTAGTGACCAGATGAGTCTGCAATTTACTAACAAGGTGTTGAGTCGGAATTACTTCTGTTTGGACCCCACAGTGGGGTGAGCAAAGCACCAGAGACAAACTCCACTGCAGTCTCACCTTAGGTGAAGAGAGAAACCTTCAAAGAGTTGCTTAGGGCTATATGAGGACTGATTTAAATCTAATCGATGCCAAGGCCAGACAGTCCTGTAATGGTACTGACCACAATCCAGGCCCTCCTCAGTGTGAAAGCGCCCACTCTACCTCTTTTCCAGTGAAGCACAAAGACAATTATAACTAACACATGGGAAACAGACTTCCCTCCCTCTGATGGAAACCCCCATGCCCCCACTTGCCCTTTGAGACAAGATCTCCGCAGATGCTAATGATGTCCATATTAAGCCATCCACCATATTCATAAAGGTGGATTAAGCAGAGGAGGAGAAAAATAATGCCAACTTAAATGTCTGTGGCCCCAGAATTGAGAGGCACTGTAGCACTTGTCCTCTTCTTGATGGCTTTGTGCGTCCTCCGAGAAGCACACAGGCAGGCATCATTCTTGCCATCATTCCGATGGTGAAGTCCCTGCACCCAGAACTCCTTGACTTGGCAGAGAGGTCATCTGTTCCATCCCACTGATAACACACCTTCTTTGAAGCAGTGTCTTTATGATCTAGCAGAAAATACTTAAATTTCTGAATTCAGAGTAATTTCGGTACATTGCTGCTGCTGCTGCTACATTACAATTGTCCACTAAGCAATCAGAGAAAATTGCTAAAAGCTTCTTTACTGCTTCCATTCCATCAGCAGAACCATTTTTTTTCCCTTTTAAAAACCAGAGTGAATGATTAGGTTACTAAATCTTATTAGTGGACAATTGAAGCGTTGATTATGAACAGTGATATTCTGAAGGTTCTTTCCCCCACCCCCACCCAACTCCCCACAGCCAGAAAAGGAGTGTTTTATATGTTGAATTTTTTTGTTAAAAAGACGAAATGTCCTGATTTTCCAATCATAAGAGAGTAATTACTTTGCACATGCAGTATATTCAATTTTAATGCTATAAAGGGAAATGTCACTCAATTTAACTCATCTGCAAGTTTCCCAGTGTCAAGATAACATTGTAGCCTTTTAAAAATGAAATTAAATGTATCTCTTGTCAGGTGAGATGGTTTAGAATATTTGCTCAGAGAGGGAAAGAAATGGTTGACCTACTTCTTGCTATTTGCATTCAGGAGGCATCATCCCAGCCCATCCTATTGGTGGCGGAATACCTAAAGATGTCGCAGCAAAGTCCCCCAAGGCAGGAGAAACGGCAGGAGGGCAGCCAGATGGAGCCCAGCCTTCCTCTGTGCTCCAGGCAGGCTTGGACTCCAGCTATGATTAGCTTTTTCAAAGCCTTTGATCTCTTCACTGCAGAGGCGGTCCTTTGTTTTTAAGTCACTTGTAGTTGTCTCTTCTTTAAGGCTTTGAATTCATTTCTTAAAAAAGTTGAGTCAATAGAGCCACCCTCCAAGAAACTGACAGTAGAGATTCCCAGAGTGGAAACTGCCCCTTAAGGACAAGGTGGCCCAAAGCCAGCTCTCTTTTGTCTCCCACTGATGTGATGTCTTTTTTTTTTTTTCCATTTCAGGTCAGTTTCAGTTTCTTGGAGCAAAGAAAACATGTTGCTAAAGCTACCAAGAAAACTGCTTGATTCATAAATTCTTAACAGAAATGCCTCCCACACCTTCTCAGAAAAAGGAGAAGGCACCTTGCAATCAGCATTCCAAAAACAGGCTCCTTACGGCCCTCATCCCTCCTCCTTCTTGCTTCCTATTATCAAACTGGTGTGTGTTGCTTGTTTCTTGCTTTTTCAGAACTGAAGACAGCCTCCTAATTCTGTCCTCTTTACAAGGGCTTTATAGTACTGAGACTGATTACAGTTCGTAAGAGGTTAAAGGTCCCTGAGCACGGTTCTCTTGTTCTGCGCCTCTAATTAATTCTCTTAGAAAGACGCTTTGCTTCACACTGCAGCTTATAGAAGGGCTACAGGCTTTAATCACGAATCATTTCATTTGATGGAGCCTTTCCTTTTCTCCTTTAGAAATAAGGTTTCCCTTTGTCTGGAATCTCCACTTCCAGGACTACACCCAAGGCTCACCGCTTCACTGGCTCTGCCCATACACACAGGCATCAGTTTGCCTTAAACTTGGAGATATGGAGAGTCTTAGCTTTTCCAGCTTAGTGGGTGCAGTTTAGCTGTCATGTACATCCAGAAAGTGGGGAAAAGGGAGAAGAAGAGTATGTCTACCACCATTTTCCCATCTGATCTTTCCCCTGTGACACTTCGGCTGCAGCAGGTGGGCAGACACAGCCCACAGAAACAGGAGTAGGAGGAGGGCAGCACCATCTCTGGGCAGGCACTCCCAAGTCTTAGCTCTTTGAGCGGATAGGAAATCCTGAGCTCCCACCACCTCTCACCTGCCCCTCCATCAACTCCCTTGAACCTGTGCAAATGGACTGAGCAAAAGAAAATGGAAAGAGATGTTTGTCACCACACAGGAGAGCTCCTTTCTGGGCCCAAGTACAACTCCATCTCTACGTATGCTCAGAAACTCAGAACATAGCTGCCACTTCTGTGTTAGCGCTGTTCTTTCTGGTACGTGACCCAGGAACGTGCCAGTGCTCTTACTGGACAGAGGCCTGGGGATGACCATCTCTGGACCCAGAGGAAGTATAATCTCTGTAGTGGGAGTTGTCCTTGGGAATAGAAATAAGTATTCCTCCACAGTGAGCAGCTCCACCGAATTTTTTTTATTTGGAAGAGACCAAGAATTAGGGGGATTGATTTCCTGTCTTAGCTGTCTCCCAGAATGTCATCTGTGCAGGCTGGTGGGCGGCTGCCAGGTGCAGCAGGCCCGTGACTCATGCAAAGGCTGCACAACTCTCACGTGCTGAGACCAGAGCATCGTGTTCCATTGCAATGTAGGCGCGTCGCCATTCAAACTCAGTTCTGGGGTGGTTTTGCATAAAGTTTTGCCAACGTGTTCTTTTTTCTGTATGTATTATTGCCTTTTTATAAAAGGTGTTGAAGTATTGTCTCAGTGATAAAAAGAGAGAGATGTTAATGGTTGTTGTATATTTCACCGTATCCAATTGTAAGTATTTGCAGGGTACAGCAAAGCCTTAGCTTGCAAGAGCGTTTGTGCAGGAGGTGTCCTTCAACAGCCAGGAGCTGAAGGGATTGGAAAGGTTCGGATTCTTTGTAAATGTCCTGCTTTTCTTTCTCTCTGTGTGTATCTATTTACATGCCTTAGCACACGCCCTCCCGTCCTGATCCCTTTGCCCTGTCGCCGGAACAACCAGAATGCTGGTGCGCTGCCAGCAAAGTACAAAGTGATGAAACCTAATCAGTTATGTCGTGCGACAGGGAAAGAAGAGAAACTCCATAGTATTCTTTGTAGAATATACATACCTGTAGGATGCTGTGTAATGGGAAACCATAGAATTGGGCTTTTGTCATTTCAAAGTTGGAGAAATGTATGAATAAAATGTATAAAACATGAAAAGTCAGTTGTCTCCTCAGATTGCAAGCCAAAGAGCTTGGGGACAAACAACAAAGGGTTTGAGGAAGAGGGATGACCCCATTTCTAAAGACTCCTGCAGAGCTTCTCTGCAGGGTTAGGTCTCACAGACATTCTCCCAAAGGGGTGGGGAATGATACAGAGGGACAGCTCCTGCCCCCTCCCAGAGGAGCACGTCCCAGGCTCCTGGTGTCCATCCTGGAAGTTTCCGTCTTCAGCCATGGCTGTTACAGACTGCATCCTGAGAGCAGTTCAAACTCAGTTGCTTGCATTTGGACGCAGATTTAAAATAGCTTCATACATTTTTAAAAAAAGAAAAAAAATCTAAGTTGTGACATCTCCTGGAAATAGAAATCTAAATTGATTTTAGTGGTGTGGGCGCCGCAGCGTGGAAAACGTGGCCCTTGTTTGACGTTCGCATCAAAAGCTGTAGGAGGAAGCCTGCTCCAGGATTGTCGCTCTGCCTGATGCCTCCGTTATTTCCTGGTTTGATTTGGTCTCTGGCTGGAGTCTGGGACGTGGCTCCTGGCGAGCCTCACTAACCTGGTTTACACATTCTCCCTTCCCCGCCCTTGCTGTATGCTCTGCCCAAGCAAAGAACCATGGTGGCTTCAGAGACAACACTTGCATGTGTCGCACACATCTCCAGAAGGAGCCCAAGCCCAAATGTGCCTACCTGGCTCACTTTAAGAACACTCATATTAAGGAAACATGAACCACAACTGACTGTTTGCTTTACTCAAGTAAACTCATGCTCCAAAAAATGTATAGAAGAGTCTAGACCACATTCAGACATTAAAAAATTGAGCCCCTGGCCTTTTGATTCAGGGAATCTCCAGTCATCTTTCTGCAGACTTCTTACCCTAGATATACAGAGGACAGAAAGCATAATGCTACCATTAAGCTCATTTTCTGAACTTCATAGTATTTAAACTACATTCAACATGTCAATATTAAGCTGGTAGAAATAAATATAAACATGTATTTCTGTGTTTTTTCCCAGTTTGCTTTAACATGGTAAGCTGGATAAATAACACTAGCTATCATTCCATGAACTGCTATAGCAGAGACTGGTGATCTGCAAAAAGAATGCAATGGGGCCGGGCGCAGTGGCTCACACCTGTAATCCTAGCACTCTGGGAGGCCGAGGTGGGCAGATTGTTTGAGCTCAGGAGTTCGAGACCAGCCTGAGCAAGAGTGAGACCCCATCTTTACTAAAAATAGAAAGAGATTAATTGGCCAACTAAGAATATATAGAAAAAATGAGCCGGGCATAGTGGTGCATGCCTGTAGTCCCAGCTACCTTGGAGGCTGAGGCAGAAGGATTGCTTGAGCCCAGGAGTTTGAAGTTGCTGTGAGCTAGGCTGTCTCCACGGCACTCTAGCCAGTGCAAGAGTGAGACTGTCTCAAAAAAAAAAAAAAAAGTGCAATGAGATTGGTGCAGGGTAGTAGACAGGGTTCAAGGTCACTGAAGGTAGCAAGCCCCCTGAAAGCACAATGTAGTAGTGCAAGCAAGCAACCCAGCCAAAGGGAAGGGCTGCTCCAAGAGAGTATGTTCCAGAAGGTGATTTGTGACTTTATCAACAAGTGAGCACACTAGACGTGGGACCTGCAGATGAAATCCCATGGCTGTGGGAGTGTCGGGGCTACTGCACTCACCACACCCACTCCCTATTCGCCCTCCCCCGCCAAGGTACCTTTCCAGAGTGTTGCCCAGAAACATTTTTGCCATAGATGCATTCTTAGGCAAGAGCCCTAAAAGCTTCAAGTTGTTGTTGTTGCCCTCTTCACTCCTTCACAGGCGTTTTATATCCCCCTCCCCATGGCCACTTGCCCCACAGAGAGTCTGGCTTCCTTATGCCACCAGAGTGATGAACGACTTAAGGGGAAGGGCAGAGGGGACATCATGCTGGGACCTTAGAAATGGCGCCAGGCCCACAGGATGTTAAACTGAGGCTGGAGATGGGGAAACGGAAACCGTGCACAAGGCAGGTGGCAGCCGCTCAGCCACACACATCAACAGCTTCCCACAGAACTTCCCCTAGAACTTTCTGGGGTGGTGGAAAGGTTCTATTTCTTGTTTGCGGTGGGGGTCACGTGGGTGTATGCAATGGTCAAAACACATCAGACTAAACACATAGGATCTGTGCATTTTATTTTATGTAAAATATATCTCAGTTACAAAATGGAAAAAAGGAAAACCACAATCATTTTTGCAGATGGCAAAAAAAAAATTAAACAAAATTCAACACCCAGTTCTAATTTAAAAACAAAAAAAAACCTCTTAAAAACTACATAGGAAATATCCCTAACACATAAAGAATAGCTGTTTCAACCCACAGCCAACATAATCCACCTAAAAGTAACACCATAAAGGCATTTAAAATGCCATTATTTTTTAAATTACCTAAATAACACATGATCTGCGTAGAATGAGTAGAAAATATGGATAAACATAAAGAGAAGGTAGATTCAAACAAATCTGTCAAGGTGGCAGGCTAGTATAAATTTATATATTTTTTAATACAGTTGTGACCATACTATACACACCACACACGTAACATAGCCTCCTCTCCCCTGTTTTTTTTTTTTTTTTTTGGAGATAAGGTCTTGCTCTGTCACCCAAGCTAGAGTGCAGTGGTGTCATCATGGCTCACAGCAACCTCAAACTCCTCGGCTCAAGCGATCCTCCTGCCTCAGCATCCCAGGTAGCTAGCACTACAGGTGTTCACCACCACGTCCAGCTGATTTTTCTATTTTTGTAGAGATGGGTCTTGCTCTTGCTCAGGTTGGTCTTAAACTCCTGGCCTCAAGCAATCCTCCTGCCTCGGCCTCCCAGAGTGCTAGGATTATAGGCGTGAGCCACCGCGCCCAGCCCCATGATTCTTTACTATGGCTTTTAAAGTATCACCCAGAAACAGAACAAAGAAGTATAAACATTGGGAAAGAGGCCAAGTTGGCCATATTTGCTAATATCATTGTATACTTTGAAACACAAAAAAGGACAACTGGACAGTCATTTGAGTTAATAAAGAACAAGTACAAAAACAGCCAGAAATCAATAGCATTCTTATATATTCACAATAAATTTAGAAAATTTAATGGTAAAAGGATGCCATTCTCAATTGCAACAAGGTTTTTAAAAAACTAATAAAATCCATGGGATCTCTACAAAATAAAAAGACAAAGCTGTATTGAGAATATGAGAAACATGAATAAACAGAGAGAAATATTCTCAGATGGAAGAACTAAATATTTTAATGGCATCAGTTATTTCAAATTAATGTGTAACTTTAATACAATGCCAAATCAAAATGCCCACAATGATTTTGGGGGGCCTTTACAAAATTACTGTATATCTAGAAGAATAAACAGTGAGAAAATTCTGGAGGAAAAAGAATTCTAGAGGACAAAAATGAGGGTGGGTAGCCCTTCTAGATGTTAATCTAATCTCAAGCTAAAACAATTAAAACATAATACACCAAAATCCGTGTCAGCTGAATTAAAGAATTAAACATAAAAATTAAATGGTAGAAAATTAAAAGAAAATAGAATTAAGTATTCATTAAAACTCTGGAAGAGGGTAACTTTTAAAGTTTATATAGGAAAAAGAAGTCACAAAGCAATTGAAAGATTTGATCCCATAAAACCATACAGCTTTTATATGAAAAGCTGTAGACCACAAAATGAGAAAGGAAAGACATTTTGCATCAACTATGATATACAAAGGGTTAATATATTTCTTATATAATGAAGTTACATAAACTGGTTAAAAATAGTAACATTGGCTGGGCTCGCCTATAATCCCAGCACTCTGGGATTATCCTCCTGCTAAGGCAGGAGGATAGCTTGACGCCAGGAGTTTGAGACCAGCCTGAGCAAGAGCAAGACCCTGTTTCTACAAAACATAGAAAATTCAGGCCGGGCGCTGTGGCTCACGCCTGTAATCCTAGCTCTTGGGAGGCCGAGGCGGGCGGATTGCTCAAGGTCAGGAGTTCAAAACCAGCCTGAGCAAGAGCGAGACCCCGTCTCTACTAGAAATAGAAAGAAATTAATTGGCCAACTGATATATATAGAAAAAATTAGCCGGGCATGGTGGCGCATGCCTGTAGTCCCAGCTACTCGGGAGGCTGAGGCAGGACTCTACTAGAAATAGAAAGAAATTAATTGACCAACTAAAATATATAGAAAAAATTAGCCGGGCATGGTGGCGCATGCCTGTAGTCCCAGCTACTTGGGAGGCTGAGGCAGGAGGATCGCTTGAGCCCAGGAGGTTGCTGTGAGCTAGGCTGATGCCACGGCACTCTAGCTTGGGTAACAGGGCAAGACACTGTCTCAAAAAAAAAAAAAAAAAAGTAACATTCCAATAAATGAACAAAGGACATGAACATATAAGACTATAAGTAGAGCTACTATTAAAAGACAAACACATTGAAAAATATCTCAATGATCAAGAAAATGGAAGTTAAATTTTAAAAAATATCCTTGAGGTATTATATTGACCTGTTAGCAGATTTAAAAAATATAATACCCAGAGCTAAAGTGTGTGCATTAAGGGAACTGGTATTTTCAAACATTGCTCACAGTACTGAAAGTAATATGCTGACATCTACCAGGAAACATAAAAATAAAGGTTTATATTTTTAATACAGTAATTATGTTTCTCCGAATCAATTTTCAGAACAGAATCCAAAAGGCAATCAGTACTATTGAGTCAGTAGTTACTGAACTTGGTTGAAGAAACATTGCAGGGACAATTCTATGGCTCGCTTTCCATACCACATGTCTGTCCGTGGCATTTCCCGCCTTCAGAGCTGGTGGCATGGGGTAGGAGCAGACAGAGTCCAAGCTGTGCACGACCCAAGTGCTGCCTTTTGCATCTGAGTATGTTGGGCAACTTGTTCAACCTCCCAGGCTCAGGGATAAAATACAGGGAACCGCATCCGCTAGGCTGGTTGTAAGCACTGGGCGAGGACAGTTTGTGC